TTAATAGGGTTTATAGGGCTTATAGGGTTTATAGGGTTTAGAGGGTTTATAGGGTTTCGGGTTTAGGGCTTAGGGTTTAGGGTTTAGGGGTTATAGGGTTTAGGGTTTAGGGCTTAGGGCTTAGGGTTAGGGCTTAGGGTTTATAGGGTTTCGGGTTTAGGTTGAGGGTTCAGGGTTTCGGGTTTAGGGTTTAAGGGTTAGGGTTAAGGGTTTAGGGTTCGTGAGAGGGCTCTTTGAAAGGGGTCCCACGGGTTCCCATAAGGGTTCTATACGGGACTAAAAACAAAGTTTCTTGATTTTGGCGGTTTGGGGTTCAGGAGTTTTTTGCATGGGTCAGGGTTTAGGGCTCAGGGGTTAGGGATATGGTTTAATTTTTGGGTTTTAGAGGTGAGGCTATAGGGCTTAGGGTGGCGTCCTCGTGCGTCTGACACCAAAGAAGGAGTTCTGAAATAGTTTTAACAAGTCGTGGTACGGGGGTTTCTAAACCCTAAACCCTCTAAACCCTCTAAACCCCAAACCCTAAACTAGACCCTAAACCCTCTAAACCCTAAACCCTAAACTAGACCCTAAACCCTATAAACCCTGAACCCAAAACCCTAAACTAGACCCTAAACCCTAAACCCTACAAACCTTAATTATAAAGGGTCCTTCAGAGCCTCCCTGACTTCGAAATTGGTGGACGCGTCTGCAACGAAAGAGAGTTTAGGGTTTAGGGTTTAGGATTTAAGGTCTAGGGTCTAGGGTTTCAAATTGCTGGGCGAGGGTGTGGGGGAAATTGTAAAATTGCATCAGCATGCGGGCAGTTGGGTTTTAAGAGGTTGTCGGGTGGGGTACATTGCATTATTTATGGGGCCTGAATAGTTGGTGTTAGGGTTTAGGGTTCAGGGTTTTCTTGGGCTTCAGGGTTTAAGGCAGTTGGATTTGTGGTCTGGTCAGGTCTGATAGGAGTCGAGAGGCTTGATCATGCCGTCGTAGTTAAAATAGAGCTGCGGGGTATAGGAATAGGACGAGGGGGTAAAGCTGAACCACTGCCTACGCTGGAACGCTAAACCCTAACCCTAAGCCCTAAACCCTAAGCCCTAAACCCTAAACCCTAAACCCGAAGTCCTAAACCCTCTTAGACACGAAGCCAAGTCAAAGTATCTTATTGCTGCGCTGTCTTTTGCGCTGCGGAGCTGTTGCGCAAGGGCGCTTAAACTTACGCTTCAGATAGCTGCCCTTAAAGGAATCCCGATACACTCACTAGCAACCGCGCACGGAATGTAAATATGTGTATGCACACACCCATAAAGATGGGTATGTATGAATGAATGAATGTATGTATGTATGCATGTATGCATGTATGCATGTATGCATGTACATGTATATGTGCATATGTAGCTAAGGTAGCATAATGGTCCAACAACTATATTGAGGTGGATGCCCTGTACGAGCGCTTTGCCGGGCTGACTACCCCCTACAGGCGCCGCATTAAGCTTGTCGCCGGGTAGTTAGGGGTCTTTGGGTTTAGGGCTTAGGTTTCTGTCAGGCTCTAGCCTCCCGCCACCATGTTCATTGAGAAGTCGGGTCGTCCTCGAAGCTGATTGCAGCAAACAGCCTAAGCAAAGCGGCAGTCTTGACCTGCGCGCGCGCTTGCAGGTGGTTCTGCTGCTGTTGTCACCGAAGGCGCAAGCAGGGCTATCGAGACGAGGCGGGGTTGAAACCGGAGACTCAGCAGGGGACACACGCTAGTAAGCTAGTACGTTCTAGGGTCGGTAGAGAAATTGGTGACTACGATTAGTGCAGCTTACAGCAGGGTTAAGGGTGATTTGGGATCGGTCGGCCGGCTCATGTAAGGCCGTTTCGTGCGTAACTTCAGGAGGCGGACGACCCCGACCGGCGCGTGCTAGAACCTCTCCGAGGCGGTAGCGACTCTCTTCCACAAATGGCGGGAGGGCCTTTGTGAAGCGGATCGCAGGCTTTAGGGCTGTACATAGCACGACTCGTTTTCTGTCTGAGTCTCCCACAAGTCATAGTCATAGCCTGGCATGCTTCCTGGGTTTGGCGTGTTGCCAAAGTTAGTTGGACTCTCTGTGACAGACGCTTTCATAAAGCTCCGCAAGTGCTTCGCAGAGTTCATTCAACTCAGCAGTTTAGTTTCCCTATGCCTTGGACTCGAAACCCTGAACCCCTCAACCGTACCAAGGATGATGACCCCATCTGTGAGGGCGCAGCTCGCTGCGCCTCCGTGAGCATTGCGATGCTAGGCTTGCAAGTGGATCCTGTGGATTCCCAAGCCCACTGCTTTAGGGTTACAATGCCTATCAATAGGGTGTCATGCTTCAGGGGTATAGTTCGTATAGTTACGGGCTTTCATTATAGGAAGTGTTTTGGGGGATAGAACGATATGGGTCATAACCTTTTTCTTCCAGTCGCCACATCGAGTGGCTCCAATATATACCTTGCTCAATGTTACTAAGGGTTCTTTCCTGTCGTCATGGAAGTTCCTTCAAGAATCATTATCGCAATTTGCCTGCGCTGGCCTAAGGATTTGCCTGATTCTTTTCGTCCGCCCCTGAGTACCTTTCTTCAGCTGAAGGCAGCTGAGCTTCAACATGCTTTAACCCCACAGTCTCTCCCCTGCCGAAGTGATGCCCCCAAGTTCTATAATATGCCCCACAACCCTATTGCAATTATGAAGGCCCCTAGCCCTAGAAAGCCCTTGTAAAACTCATGTAAAACTCCCAATAGGAAGCCTAGAAATAAGAATCCGACAAGCGGAAATTTCTATCAGGTTGTCACGCTGCTAGCCGGCTCGCTCCTCGCCGGGGCTCTGCACCTTCGGGAAAGCCTCGGCCCAAGGAGGGTTTAAATACAGTAGCCTGAAGACTTACCTAGATTATTCCTGACGGGGCGCCTTATTGTAACTATCCCATAACTACGGCTTCGGGAGTTTAGGGTTTAGGGCTTAGGGTCCCATAAGATCCCCAGACCCTATCCTAATTATTTTAAGGCCCCTTTCTTAGGGCCCCTAAAGGGGATCTCAAAGCAATTAGAGCTCTTGGGGTCTTGGGGCTTTCGGCCGTCGGCTCAGCCTTCTCTTTGAATCATCGTATAGTTCTTCTTGAGGCTCCATAGTAGTTCCTTTTGGGGGGTTACCTCATAGGATCCTAAATATCAACCACAACAAGGAACTACTATGCAGCCTATGGGTATAGCTGTATCTTGTCAGTTTCATTATCACGATTCTTACTGGTACTGTAAGTACCCTTTTTGTTTGTTGTCCTTGTTACGGCTCATGGCAATCTGGCGCTGGCTGCTGTCTCCTGTGGTCTTTCCTGACTTTGGTGTTGCCATGTTTGCTCGTACCATTTGTTTTATCATCATTCCTAGACTCCTAGAATCTGAGAGCGGTGGTGCTGCGATTGGCAAAGTCCTACCTTCGGGAGCAGCTCCAGGGCCTCCAGACCCGGTACTCTGGAGGTCGGCGTAGTGGGTATGCTATTCATGAGGGTTCTGCATCTTAACTCATACTACAACAGACACCAAAACCCCAGTGTGTTTATTTCAGGCCGCTATATATGTTACACCGCAAGCTTTTCAAAGCTCCAGAACCCGGAAAACACTACGAAACAAGTGATGCTAGTTGCAGCCTGAAGCCCCAATCAAACTTGTCCGGCCTCAGCCGAAGAAGAGCCCTTCAGTCTAAACCGGGTGTGCGGAGCTTTCTTGGCAGCCGGAAGTGCCCGGAAAGGCTGGCAAAGCTATTCCTCGGGAGCCACCAATCTGGTGGAGTGGCTACAAGCCACGACAAGGCCGGGCAAAAGCTGAGGGTTATATAGGGTTTAGGGCCCGGGGTTCAGAGGGGAAGCTTTCTATCTGGATCACCAGCACTGATCATGATGGCTCTTGCTGTAACTACTGTACGGCCAGTATTTTTTATTGTTGCTAATCCTACATGTTGATTTTCCTCCATCTTCTCAGTATTGTGATTGTTGACACTGCCATGATCAGCCCTACCCTAAACCCTAAACCCTATAAACCCTATAAACCCTACAAACCCTACAAACCCTATAAACCCTATAAACCCTATAAACCCTATAAACCCTCAACCCTAAACCTTATGCTGCCGTGCTACGGTACACAAGGCCGGTCTCCAGCCCCTCACTTAAGAAGAGGACAAGACTAGATCGCAGTTGGAAGTTTCCTCGGGGACATAGATACCCCAGACACTAGAAGACCCCTAAACTCTAAACCCTAAATCGAAACCCTGGATGTGGGAGCAAAACCGACATCGCGAATTGGATCCCAGGAACCTTTCCACCCGGCTGCGCTTGAGCGACGATGCAGATGTGCGGTTGAATGGGATGCTTGTCTGCCATGGTAAGTATAGGGTCCGCTAGGTTTGTTTAGAGCTACGAAGATTCCATCCGCAAGAGAGGATGATGCAGGCGTTGCGCTTACGAGTGGGCTAACTCCAAACAACTAAACCTCAGGTTCTACACCTCTTTGCTGGACAAGGGTCAAGCTCTCGTCTCAAGCGTGGTGGAAGCAATCATCGCAGAAGTCTCCTCGTGGCTGAGATGCAGAGATGTTCTTTACAAGTTAGAAGTATGATGCCATGTTACAGGTGTGGCAGGGATATACATATATTACGTATATATATATATATATATACACTATCAAGAGATCCGGCAGTCATGGGCTGCATTTATTTGCCAAGGTGTGTGGTGAGCTTGATCATCATATTCTTGTACGTGATCTTCGGGCTGCTATATCCCTTGCCGATTGGTGGCAAGGTGAGCAATCTAGCTGCTTGCCGGCACAGTCTGTCTAGTCCATTATGCTGCAATGATGCAATAGTCAAACATCTTCTGTCCGTATAGCCATACACAGCAATCGGGATGCTGTGAACACTGTCGCGATGCATCAACACGCAACGATTTGCAAAGCAAGCAATAGCCACTCCAACGAATATGTGTATCAGCCGGCTTTAGTTACAAAGCAAATTGAAGTATTTCGCCGAAGAGCGGCATCATCATAGCGCAACATCAGAACAGTTTCGCAACAGTCAGTTTCGACCAGGTTCGCAGCTATCTGTGGAAGAAGACAGTTGTCTCCCTGCTTTATGGCTTCTCAGCGCGGCGCTCGCAGCAAGTCGAGCCAGATGTCTCAGTCGCGAGCAGCAGATTCTCCAAGGTGTCCGCACTCTTTCTCCTCTTGAACAATGACCTCGCCGCAGCCTCGATACCCAGGGGTCAGGGCTGCCTGCTGTTGCGACAGGGAGAAAGAGTTACACGCGGGGATGTTGAAACAGGCAGTTTTTTTCGGCATTGTCTCCTTCTTCTTCAACTACGTTCCGGAAGTGGGTCTGCGCCTAACGAGAGCAGATCATGGGATGCCAAGTTTGCCCCGCTGGAACGCAAAGTCCTACACTACACTAACCACGTGAACCCTGTGCTACGGCTTGCATTGTTGAGGTAATATGTGCCGTTTAAAGTTTGCAGAAAGGTACAATCATTGCCATCTTCATTCCGATGCCCGTGATTCTCTTGGATGGTCGACTCCTGTCCCCAGCTGCCACGTCGCTGTCTTGGTGTGAGCTTCTGTGCATTATATGGTTGTCATGTGAGTTTGACACTGTGCGCGAGGCTCGCGAAGGCTACGGTTGGACAGCTGGCGCAGGACTCAAGAGGAATCACATCTAGGACTGATAAGCTGAAGATTGGGATCACCACTAACGCAATAGCCTGCTTCTTGCTTGTGCAGGCAGTTTCCTGTTGGTCTCAATCCAAGCTCTCGTGAGCTGAGGTTCTCAAAATTGTCTTTAACAACATCATTGAGACGAGCTTGATTCAGAACGACCAAGAGATGAGGATACATCCTGTGGCGTGCCTGTTGTGTGACGAGCAGCGCCGGATAAAAGCGGCCCTGAACCAACCTGTCAGCCTCAAGTTCAGGTCTGGGTCCTCCTGACCATCAACTACTTCGGCTTCATTTGGGGACCGGCAGGCGGCGTGCTGGCATTGGGCATCTGCATGCTGGCATTGTAAAGTTTAGGGAAGACCAAAGCAGAGCTCCCGGAGAGAAGCTGAGGAATGATGATTGGGGTGCCCATCCTGTCGGTGATGAAGCTTGCCTCGGAGCTAAAACTTCGAGAGGCCAAACCGCAAACTTTATATCTCACTTCCCACAGGCGACAAGTGCCGTGCAGTCCGTCAGATTCCGAGGAAAGGAGCCGCGGTCTCTGCAGTAGAGCTTACGGAGTCGAAGGACGACGTGGCTAAGGCCAGGCACCTTCAGGCTTCCTTTGCAAAGATCTGAAATGCTGGATTTAGGGTCTGGGCCAAAATGAACCAGCACGCCCAGCGCACCTCCCGGGTACCCACGTACCTGCTTAGAGAGGCCAGTTTGCCACAACCGCAACCCCCAACGACGCATGCTAATGACACGTGTGCACAGACAAAAAGACGAATCGAACTACGCAGTGACTCCCGCATCTTTTCACCACCGTCATCGTCGGCATTGACCCACTGCTGTTTTCCAGCTCCGTTGATCGTTGTGGGTGCTGGTGCTGGTGCTGGTGGCGGCGGTACTCGTAGTAGTAGAAGCATCAGCACTGGCAGTAGCAGCAGCAATAGGAGTAGCAGTGGCAGGAGCCGTAGCAGTAGGGGTAGGGTAGTAGTCCTAGTGGTAGTGGTAGTAGTGGTGGTAGTGGTAGGAGTAGTCGTCGTCGTAGTCGTAG